CCTGATTTCAGTTTAACCCGCTCATTTAACACACGGGTGTTGAAGCCTCATTCGCATAAAAGTTGAAACTTGTTAATCTCATTGATTGTATTATTAACAACAAAACACAGATACATTTTGTGGGGTGTGGGGATTGCCTGTAAAGTCTCTTTCTATACCTAAAACACAACTAATTTTATTTCAATATTTGTTGCATTTTAAAATGATCCTCTCCCTTCCTCCCACGCACATACCAAATATTTAAGTCTTTATCAACTTTTGTATTAATTTATTTGTTTTGATTAAACTAATTAGGGAGTAATACTATATATCAATCAATCATTTAGGTGTCAATCCAAAATTAATTGAAGTTTATTATGTTAAATTATTCTATTTATCCATTAATTATATTTGTCATTAGTTCCATAATATTCTACTCTTTTGTTTGAAATTGGATATATCTGTATGCTTCTTGCTCTTTTATGTCCATTTTTACTAAATTCTCTTTATGATAAAATGCCTTTTTTCTCTTTGTGGATAGAACATTCTGTTTTGTGTTGTATATATCATAGTTCGTTATGTATTTGGCAAAAAATGAAATTGTACATCGGTGATCGATAATCGTCAATTTAATCTTTTAAATTTTTCGTCATTTTATTTATTTAATTAAAAATTTTATCATAAAATCAATCTAAAAATATAAGTGAGAATACTAATAAAAATAATAAAATACAATTATTACGTTTACTTAATCTACTCAGAATGAATCAACAATAGTATATAGTGATGTTGATCTTCCAAGTTGATTAGAAATATGTCGGCGTTACGTTCTCAAAGAGTAAAAAACGTGAGAATCATAAGAAGTTGTTATTCATGTGAAATAAATAAAAATAGAAAAAAAAATACAAAATAATATAATACATATATCATGAGGAGTAGCACCAAAGCAAACTTCTATATTAAATTTTTCTGTAATTAGCAGCCGATTTATTTGTATTGCGGCGGACGCAAGCAAAGTAAGCTTATCGATTTTATTTTTTTAATATAAACTATGATCTATTAATTTATATTTCATTTATAAATAATTTTTTTTATCTTGAACGTGTAAAAATTGTGTCCAAAATATTATATTTGTTTGTATTAAGCAGTCGATTGCTTTGTATTTGCGGCGGACTTAAGTTATATATATCTGAAAATAGGCAAGTCGGCAAAACCCCACATGTCCCTATTTTCATTTTTTAGCTCGGTGCGCATTTACTCTAACTAATATTATAAATTAAATAAAGTGGCAAACCTCTTTAAACATGTTTAGGTTTTTAATACAAAATTTTTTAAACACTAACTATATATGATTTCGATAATATATTTTGATAACATTTATTTATTAGAATTGCATCAAATATATTAGGCAAAACTCATTCGATCACTATAATAAAATAATTTTTGATCATATTAAATATTAATATTAATAAAAAGTGTTAAAGTTTTTATAATATTAATTAAATGTCATTAGAATCAATGTCGCAAAAAATTTAGAAACATATATCAGAAATGTCAGTTGCCACTAATAATATATATTTAGTGACAATAAAAAAATAATTACAACTAATAATTATTTTTATTATAGTGAATAAATCAAAAGTGAAATAAGATTTAATGTTCATCAGATTTAATCTTTTTTTTGTACTAATAACCTACTTTTGTAAAAGAGCTAGTTTCATTAGAACGTGAAAGATTCGGAATAGCTAATGCAAAATCTTAAGGTAATGAACAAACTCAGATAGGTTTAATATAATACTCTAAATACAATATAATACTATTTGTATTTGGTGAAATTTATAATTTTTTAAACAGTTTGTACAGAATTAAAAATAAGATCGTATATGATATACAAAGCACGAAAACTCTTAATATAACATGATATTATTTATTTTTTGTGGAATTCATATGAAATTTTCACATAATTATTAAAATATTAAATTATGAAAAGGATAGCGCAATAACCAAAACGTTTCATATTAGTAGTAGTTTAAAGATATTACTTGGATTACTTAAAAATCCAGTATCAACAAAAAATAAAAGAAAAAATAAAAGTCATACTATATAATATTTTAATTTTTTATTATATTACATAGAAATAGAGTTCGGATTTGAAACGGAAGTAAGGTTATATGTAAATCTGAAATCAGTGGCATGTACATGTGTTTACAAGTTTATTAATATATATAATTTGCGTGGACATATAAAAGTCACTCTCAAAGGCCACCACACCGACTTACTTTCACACAATTTGTTTTTTCCGTTTTGATGATATAACCTATAGTATTTATTTTTGCAATTATAATAATATTAATTACCGCCCCTCCTAAAACTTCAACCAACTTGTCAACAATCTAATTAAAGTCATCCTCATCTTTAATTGTTAATCCATTTTAGTCAAAATTCATTGTATTTTACTTCATTTGAGTTCTACCACTAGATTGTGTTGGCAAAGATATATATATATATATATATATATATATATATATATATATATAAGTAAG